GTATCTTTCTTACACAGTAAGAAATATCTAATTAGAATTTTCTGAATTACTTTTTAAATAGATGCTAGGTAAGAATATTCAGTAAGCCAATAATTCATAGTAATTATTGTAAAAAGGAATAAAGTATTAATTTCATAAGTTAATTAATTTTTTAACTACACAAATAACTTACCAATACAGGATTTTTATGGGAAACATTCTTAAGAAAATATGTCTAATTATTAAAATTTGGTCTTTTATCAAATGAATACAAGGACTATAGAATCGTTTCATCACATAAGAGACCCTCATTTCACAGACATGGTAAGAACTAATTCAGAGGTCTCCAAGGTTTTTCTGTTATAATGAATAAATTGGAGAATTTGATAATCCAGACATTCAAATGATTTGCTTTTAGACAACTATTTGACTAGATTATCAGTTCTGCAGTTTCAGTGGGACATGTACCAAAATTAAATGTGGGTAGGAAAGTCAGCATGTGTATATAACCCCCCCTGCAAGTGTATTTTAGCATCTTAATGAAGGAATTTGGTTTATGTTCAATAGCAGACTCACTCTTTGTACCTTTTATAGGTTTAGGGAATGTTCTTGATGGTGTGTTCATTATTGTGTTAAAGGAAACATTAACTCTCCATATTATAATTCACGTTGTTTAGTAAGATTAGTTTTGTACTTGTGATTTCAATGGACTGTGCTGAAAAATCACAAGAATAAGCATATTTGCACTTAGGCAAAGCCTGTTCTTGAAAAATATTAACATACTTGAATCCCCAAAGTCTAATGGAGCATATCATATTAAATTTTAAATGTAACTAAGTAAATAGATTTAGGGTTTTGTCTTTCTTTGCTCTCTCACAACTTTTATACCTTCCTACCTTCCTTTCTAAACTCTCTCTTTATAGTATGATTTTTTAATGTATGACATATTTTTCTTCTGTTTGTTTTATGTATACAGTTATTTTTGATGAGCGGTACACTCAAAGGGAACTAATTCTGCCTATAGATTCCACTACTTGAAATAACAGTATTGTATCTAAAGTAGTGAAACATCTGAATGTGAAATATGCTGGCTCAGTGTGTTGTCTTTTTTTCATCAATGAAGGCACTTCAGTAAAATAGATTATTTTTAGTGTAATGCTTTTACATTAGAATGACCTTTCCCTTGGGTCCAGCAGATGGCATAATGGTTACATCACTGACTCCCACATAGTGGTTCAAGTCCCAGACCTGGCAGCTTAAAACTCACACCAGGCTTGTATGACTGCATGCCCAAAATCCCTAGAGGAGACTGGAGGAGAAGGAATTGCAATGTGGCCATCCCCCTTGGGGGGTGATTTCTTGCTTTCTGTCTCTGTCTCTGTCTGTCCTGCGAGTGCCTACACCCTATAGCAAAAAAAAAAAAAAAAAATCTTAAAAAAAAAAGAACGGATTTCGCCCCCAAAAATAATGGTTTAGAAATAAACCAAAAAAAGCACATGAGGAACCTTGACACCTCTTTCTGTGAAAGGAATGTATTTATAAATAGCATACATCTTCAAAATTTTTCTTAGCATAGTTGAACAATATTGATTACTAGAGGGACCAGCCATTGGCCTGGTGGTTACGGTGGCTGGATCCCACATGACTGACTTGTGATTTGGGTCCCAGACCAAATGACTTAGAAAACACACTAGGCACATGTGCACATGTGCCCAAAGTCCCAAGAGGAGAATGGAGGAGAAGGAATTGCCAGCCTTGCCGTTATCCTTAAGGGATGCTTTCTCACTCCCCCCCCCCTTCTTTCCCTGTCTCTCCCGTGAGTACACACACCCTATTTAGCAGGTTGAAAAAGAAGGTTATGAGAGTCCTTCTAAAGTTTGTATTTCCCTCTTTGTAGGGTACCTTTTCCCAGCTCAGTGACTTTTTCCTGCCCAGAGGCTTGAGAGTAGGCAGTGTTATTTTTTTAGCTCCTAAAGACCAATCCCGATGGACCATCTTCTCAAACAGTATAGGCATTAGTCCTGCTTTCTTCCCCTTTCTGTTGCTATGGAAACATCCTCAACTCTAATTCCTTCCATTCTCAGCTTGGTTTAACTAAAATTTTATTTCCATTTTCAAAAGACTTCTCCATTGACGTCAACTGAGGTCTCACTGCAATTTTTAAATTTGTTATTAAAGCAAGATGATTGGTATGTTTGTTTTCTCATCG